AGCAAAAAAGCAAGCAAGCAAATACTCCTTAAACTGAAAAAAAAAAAAAAAAAAAAAAAGAAAAGAAAAGAAAATCTTACATCCATACACACAACTAAAATAAATACACAGAATGCTCCATAGAACCAGGGAAGTTGATTACTTGTCCATGTCATGATGTCATGATGCATACTGTTAATATTGAGTATCTGCAAAAACCTTTAATGCCAGACTTCAGTCTGCGCACTGCGGTCAGGAACACAGCCAAAGCTGTAAATGTAACACCCGATTTTCAGGGAGATGGGAATGTGGAAAAGAGTTTGGGAAATTTTCCTACCAGGATGCCTTTGAATCTCTCCAGATAACATTTTCTATAGCCTCCAGGCATTAGGATGTGGTGCATCATCTCCGGGTCAACCCAGCATGGCCAAGGCTGCTAAGCCCATCCCTTCAGACATACATGGGAGTAAACTCCCCCTTCTGCCACTGGACTATACAAGAGAGGGGAGGGAAAGAAAAGAAAGAAAAAACCCACTATCTTGTGTCCACCATTTCAGCTGCTCTCCTATCTGACATCCAAATGGAAAAGGCAAGAGATCAGGCTGTTTCCTCACTGCATTAGATGGGAGAGGAAGCAGGACAGGAAGAGGGCAGGAAGCAGCCAACAAAAGGCAGAAAGACATACTAAAATTTCCCATGTCCTAATGCTTTTGCATTTGAATCCAAATTCTTAGAAACCCACAATCCAGCTGTGGAAAAAGGACTTTGTGAAAGCTGGGAGGGAATGGAAGGCTGTCTGGCTTTCTCAGCATAAGTACATGTTTTGCTTTGTTTTCTATTTGCATGCTTCATCCAAAGTGTTACACAACATGAAGCTTTATATAGCTATATGAGAACGCATACTCCCCACACATCCAGGGAAAAACCTCAACCACACTAAAATCTGTTCAAATCAAAAAACCTCACCCAAGTCTAACAGGACCTTAACGTTGACTAGGTACCACAACAACAAAATCGTGCATTAGAAAATATCCCCTGCTTAGTTGTGAGAGTACAGCTTTCCCATGGCAATTCCATGTAACTCCATGCCCTAAATTCACTAACATTTGCCAGATAACAGCAGCTGCTCCAGGATTCCTCTGGCAAATGCCATATCTCAGACTTTTTTCTTTCTCAGTATGCTGTGATTTTCTGTGGAATGGAGAAATCATCTATACTACAAAGAAGTGCAATACTAACACTTTTAGAAGTAAATTATTTTATAGCACATGTATTATGGAGAGAAATTTAATACTTGGACCAAGAAATTCCCAAGTGGACAGAGATTAGAAAAATTCTGATAAACAAATGCCATCAAAGCTCATATATTTTTTTAATTCAGTGTAAAAAATATTGGGTAACTGTTTTCTGTTCCTAGAAAGAAGGGAATTCTACTGCCAACAGCTGTAGTTTTTTGTAGGAATTATAATACTATACTGAAGATTTATGTTCCTGACAAAGGCATAAAGTTATCCAAACTAGGGCAGAAAAAACAGAATAGTCTTTTCCCAATGAAACAGACCCACATTACTTCTGTTAACTCTTACTATGGCAGGAGTTTTGATCTTCAAAACCAGGAACTCATGCTGTGGTTGATGTTCATAATGATTAAGTCTTGCAATGCCACTCTGCACAAGGTGAACTGTTTTATCACAGGTTATTACACAAGCAAGAAAGATACCCTATCATCTTTAAATCAATTAAAGTTATAAATATTTACCTTCAAAAGCACATGACTTTGAATTTCCTCCTTGGGATTTTGGGGTATTACAACAATGCTTTCCCCACCTTACGATAAGGCTTCCCTAAAGCTCTGGCCATCTGTCAGGTCCACGGGAGAGAGGAGAAAGGTGGCCGTAGGCAATAGGCTGTCTTGTGCCTTAAGTAAACAAACAAGGTGAAGGAATCTTGGATCTCTTTGCTGCAGTTATACAGATGCAAGTGGTCCTACCTGCCTGCACAACCCTCTCCTGATTCTCATAGAAAAAGTATTCCTCATGCTCTGCAAGATCAAGGTATTTTGTGTTCCTTGAAACTACAACAGATAACAGTATACAGAACTATTATTTTTAAGTCAACAGACACTGAGCAATAAAACTCAGGATATCAGTGGTTTTAGAGTTCATTTATTTGCAAGCAGCCAAACTGGGTTTGAATCCTGAGCCAATTTACAGTTCCACCCTATGCTGTTCCATGAACACTACACCAAGTTACACAACTTGGGAATCAGTAAATCCATTGCCTTGAAAGAATTTGCTCAAAGAGTCATGATGAGTCAGTGGCAGTATCTTGCTTAGGTCTCAGACTTTGGCTTCCACTTTGTAGCTGCTTGGTTCACCAGATCATATTTATACAACAAAGCAAAACAAAATATTTTTTTTCTGACCTTCTGAAATTGCCATTTGTTTTGTTTGTTTGGTTTGTTGTTTTGGGTTTGATTTTAACTAGGGGAAGAAAATAAATTAAAAGTTTCTAAATAATTACAATTGTGACTTTTTTTTTTTAACTAGCAACCAACAAAATATGCTTCTCTGTTGAAGCAAAGATAGAAAGCCTGATCTCTTTGAACAAAATGCAAAATAACCCAAAGACCTACACAGGAAAATCATTGTGCACATGCCAGTTTTATGTTCAGATAGACAAATCTAATAGTCTACTTAGTCACTGACTTTAAAAATCCTCCATGCAGCCACTGTGAAGTGAAAGACCAAAATAAAACCTTCCTTCAAGGACCAACTTGCTACCAGTCTTTAGTTCTGCAAAGGATCTGTAAAAACTGAGGATATTTTACTTGAGTTAACAGAATTTTAATTAAGCATAAACAAGTGAACAGTAAGCATTCAGTTTCCATAGTATATATGATAAAAAAAAAATAATTTAAAAAACTGGGGCCATAAAACCAATTTTAAAAGTTTTAGGATCTAAAAAGAGGTAGTGTGTATGGGGCAGGCTCTTTTCACCACAAACAGATTCTTTAAAACAAATTGCCATTGTCAAATAATCATGTATAAGAACAGTTCCAATAAGGCAGAAGTTATCTAGCATGGCACTAGAGAACACATTTAATTTTAAATACGCTTATAGTTTTATTAGAACCAATGGCTTTTTCCATGCTTAAGGCTAAGCATATGCTCATGTACTCTGCCAAGACAAAAGCTTCCAACTTTGTTGTTAGAATGCAAAGCAAAGCTTTTATCCCAAAGCACATTTTCTTGCATGTAATCAGAGCTGATGATGCCACCATAGTTTCCAATTCATTCCAGGGCGCAGTCAGCACTTATTAGGGCACAGATGGTGCTCTCTTTCCTTGGTTTCTAAAGAACATGCCTACAAAATCTGCCTGTTCTTACACTCTGTATTGCCACAATAAAAATAACAGTAGCCTTTGAGCTAGTCTGGAAGTCTTTTCTAATTTACACACAAAATTTGGCAATAGGATTATCAAGTAGAATCAGCCCACTCGAAACCAAAGAACTTGATATGCTTAAATCCAACACCTTAGTCAACAAACGATGGGAACAAGCAACCCATAAAACAACAAGAACAACAATCAGTAACAATTTTTTCCACTTGATGGCTGTGTGTTTCTGGAACTGTAAGAATTATTCAACAGCTAAGCAGCAATTATCCAAGGAAGAAGCTGTTTTGTAAGGCAGATAAAGAGCATTAGCTCAGGATTTGGTCTGAGCAAGGCCTTTTCCAACACATTCAATGCCTTGGTTTGCACTGTGATGAGAACTTGAAGTGTTTTCCCCTGTAGGCAGCCTAGCATATTTGTTTCCCAATTTTTGAAAATTATTTACTCATTTCCAAGCACACACACAGCAACCTCCACAGAGACCATCAGAAAGACAGCTGTCACAATACTCCATAAAAATGTCCTAAAGTAAGATAATCTCGGATTTGTCCAGCAGATCTGGACAAAACATTCTTGAACGTGCAGCTGAGATGCAGGTGCACATGATGGTCAACGGGTCTTAGTCACCCATCTTCACAGGCTTTCAGTCTCACACAAAGCACACTGACACTGGAAAAATCACAAGTCATGTGCATCAAAATATGTATGACCAAACACAAGTGGGGGTAGAGCAGGGGGTGGAGGACTTGGAGAAAGATTAATCAGACTGCCTGGAAAGGATGTTCCCAACTGAGGACTATCTCACTATCTCACTGGTAACATGAGGTTAGCAGCCAGTGCATGCTGCCAGAATCTGGGACAAGAAATGTGAATTTTAAGCAGTTGTCTTGACTTCAAAATGGCTTAGCCAATTGCATGCATGGATTGGTAAAGAAATCACTTCTGAACAAACATCAAGTCCATAAAACTAATTTTAGAAGTACATTTAAATGCCAGAGATTTTACTAAATAAGATCATTTAAGACCCACTAAATCAGTTAGCTCTTACATTTGTTTTAAAAATAAGCAATGGCTAGTAATTTTGGAAGTAATGATCCTAGATATTTGTACTCCAGTAAATATAATAAACTAAATAAATCTAAATTAGTACCTGGTACTAAATCAAAATTACATCAAAATCATAATAAAAGTAAATAAAAACTCTGTCAGTATAAATGACCCAGAAACAAATCACTGTAAAACATACATAAACCAAACAATAATCAGATACGGATGGTAAAGAGACTGTTCTGCAGCCAGTCAAAACTACTTTTTATAGTCCACTCCTGTTGAGGTAATGGATTATGGGTCCTCCTATACTCCAGCCTCACCCAAGGCAGCCCCTCCTGCTATCTCCTTGTCTCCTGAAACTCAGCCCTGCTCATGCCCCTAACTTTGCAATATTTCCTGATATTTGCCTGGCTTCCAGGAAATTCAGGCTGTTCCCTTTTCTCGGTATCACAATGCATAACTTGAAATTACTGGTACATTCAATACTTTTAAAATCATGGCTTGAGAACAATATCAGCAACAACAATCAAAATACCAACCTTCAAAATACCAGCAACAACAATCCTGGCCTTACCTGGAGGACCTTGTACTGTCATTTCCTTACGCTTCATCATCAGCTTGTCCTTAACCCATGGGAACTCCTGTAAGGAATCCAAGAACACTTCAAAAGCTTTGGGTCCTCTGGTGGGGAGAATATCAAGGAGCATCATAGTTTTCCTCTGACTGGTGGTTTGGGCTTTTATTTCTTGAACATGACTGTCTGTAAGAATCCCTTCTTGGAAGAGATACTGAATAACAAGTCCATCCACCAGCACCTCTGTGCAGAGCTCAATGCGCAGGGAGCGTAAAAGCTGCTTATCTCTGGCATCCATCTGGTAACCTAGAATGTGAGACAAGGAGTAAGGAAACGTATAAAGATTAAAACACTGAGACCTTTAACATCCAGAAGTGATGTTTGAACATTCAGAAGAGATGTTTTGACACCTGTCAACCTTCAGAAAGAATTACAAATTCAGAATCACCAGCCTGGGCAAACTGTTAATGATCCCTATCATCTTTTTTCTGCTCAGATTTCACTGTCTCATAAGGTAAAATGCAGCCATTTCTGGGAAATATTAGACAAGAATAGAACCTTTGGCATTGTGAAGCCAAGTCCTTTGCTGGAGTGAAACCCACGCCACGTAATCCCGCTCACTAACTGGCTAAGGTCCACATTAAAGGTAGCTAGAGCACTTGCCAGTCCTTAAGAGACTCTAACCCCAAAAATTAAAGAAATGTCACAGCTGACCACTGATATAATTACAAAAGCAGCAGCAGGACTGGTAGATGCAGCACAGCCAGGCAGCAGCAGCAGGGACAGCAGGAGGTAGCTTTGGCCTGCATTTTAAGTTTAGAAGGGGCAGAAACGCACCTTATGCACCAGGTCGTTCTCCCCCCAGATCATCCTGGAATAGTGCTCTGGAGCTTGACTGATCTGATGATGAGAAACTTTCTTCAAATTTCCATCTCAAATTTATCCACCTTCCATTTATAGGCATTTTTTCTGCCAAAATTGTTCTTTAGCTTAAGAAGCTCTTCTCCCTCCCTTCTAATGTGTTCACAGTAAGCAATCAGATGCCCTTTGCCAGCTTCCATTTTACTTGACTAACACTCTGATGAGATAAAAGCCAAAAAAGATGCATTTTATAGTCACTCTACAGAACAAGAGTCAAGGACCAGAGACCCAAGATCATGACAGGAGTCTATATCAGACCTATGAACCAACTCAAGATGTCTAGTCTAATCCTTAACTACAAACATATCCTTAGGGCCATTAATGATACTTGAAAAGGAAAGTGACAGGACAATACAATGAGATACTTTCTCATTACTAAATAATGAAGTCAAAAAACTGCAGTAGGTGTTGTGATTACCGCAAGAGGGTTTCTAATAATTAAACTAGAAGCTGCTGTTTGAACAGCAGAAACTCTACTTCATTCAGCTTGAGGATACAAGGCAAGACAGGAATTTTCAAAGCTTTTGTATGAATCCTGCTGAAGTCTTTTTATCATCAGAGGTGCCTAGTGACTCCCAGGGCCCCATCAGAGGTTTTTTGGTTGACCTGGTTGTTAAAATCTAGGGCAGGCAACCAACAAAACATATCGGCATGCAAATGGCACCTTGGTCAGAATGCAAGGGCATAGCACCATGAGAGAGAGAGACTGGAAAACCCTGTCTGTGACATCCTCTGATAAAGCCACTTTCTGAAAATACTTCCGCTGAGAGCTAAAAGCACTGCTGGAAGGCACTTTCCTAGAGGACCTTCCTGGGTTAGTCGGTGCATTTCTCATATACTGAAGTGAATTTCAAGGTGCTTACCTTGTGTCTAGGGATCATGTGGGAATCAAGTAACGGCTATCCCAGCACATGTCTTTAAGAAATGCTGATTTGCTAAGCATAGCTCAAACATCAAACTCCATCATGGACTGAGACATTATTGCAAGGAAGGAGCAAGAAAAAGAGCAGGCAAGAAAGAACTGGATTTCCCCACTTGATGTTAGGAGGCTAATTTTGGAGAGGTGAAGCTGAAGACTCTGGTCTCCAACACATAGTACCTTTACACTACTGGAAGGTATCTCTGGACAAAAATTCAGGCAGTAAATCCCATTGCTTCTCTCTTCTGGAATACCCTTGAGCTCACAAAACACTTGCAGAGTTCAAGACATCCAGCAGCAGCTCTGAGGGTGTTATCTCAACCCAGGCAAAAATCTCTTTCAGATGCTACAAAACTCTTGTGCTTCACATTCTGCACAAGCCACTTGTGAGAGTCCCCATCCAACAGCCTCCCCACTCATGTGCTGGATGAGAATCATTGAGTTCTCCAGTCACTGTGCAGCACTTGATGAGTTCCTCTTTTTCATGACCAAAGCAGCCAACACTTTTCAAAAACAAGCTCTTACCAACCATCTCAGTTTGCACCTCTGGCTGCTGAAAAATGCCTATCAAGCCATGAATCTGAAGGAGGAATCTTGCTGACTGCAGTGCACACAACTGAGGTTGTTAAGTCCTGGCATTGTCCTAATAAACTTTCAGGATGGGGTGTACTGCTTTCTAAGGTCTTTTTAAAGATTAAGTACTTCTTTTTGTGTGTTTACAGTGTTGGGACAGAGCTTAGTGCAACACAGAATTAATTTAAATTCATTTTAATCACAGGCTGTATCTAGGGATGCAAAGTAAGCTCTGAACTAAATCTTGTGTAGTCGTTCCATGGAAAATGAAAAAGATGAGATGTCCATTGACCCAAAAAAAGACATGGCTCAAACCCTTCCCAGATACTTCTGAAAATTGATCTTTTCCATTGTAAAGCCAAATTCTAAGAAACGCAGTCCATGTCCTGCTGAATGTGCACAATCTTTGATTCATCACCACACCAACACAAGCAGGTCTGCATTTTTTCAAATCTGACACAGAATCTGGCCATGAATGGAGATAAAACTTTTGATAAAACCCCTTTCTGATTCTAAAAAGGCACATTCACTTCTTGCCTACAAAAACTTCGGCGTTTTCCCTAACACCAACTGCAACGGGCTGCTCATGACTCCCACGTGCGTTCCCATACGCCTGCTTAGCTAAGGATAAGGTCTCCCTTGCCTAACCCACGAGTGATCTGGCTATTCACAGCATGCCTACGGGTTAAAAACATATCATTAAAAAAATCAGGTTTTGCTTTTAACTCCTTCCGTGCAGCTGACGTCTCGACGCTGCTTCTCCTGCAACAGCCAGCGCTTGGTTGCCGGCACCCTGGCCCCGAGCCCCTGCCGGCAGCAGCCGCCCTCCGGCCTTCCCTCCGGCACCGGCTGCGGCAGCGGAGGCGGCCCGAGACCGCCCCGCGGAAGCCCGGCCCCTGCCTCGGCCCCGGGGCGCCACCGAACGGCTCCTCGGCAGCGCTCTCCCGCTTCCCCCTGCGCGGCGCCCGGGGCGGCGGGCGGGGGCAACCGAGCCGAGCCGGGCCGGGCCGGGCCGGGCAGCGCCTGGGCGAACGAGCCGCCGTCCCCCTCCCCTACTTACGCGAGGGCAGCGCGGAACTACCCCGGGCGGCGCGGAGCCCGCGGAGCCTGCGCGGGCAGCACCATCTGTGGGGAAGGCGAGCGCGCTCCGCCGGAAGCCGCCGCCGCCGCCCTGCCGGGCCGGCCGAGGAGGAGCGGCCGCCGCCGCCATGTCAGCTGTGGGCAGCGCGCCGGGAGCCCGGCGGTGCGGGCGGCCCTGGCGCCGGCTGGGGGGTCCCGCCGTTGCCCGGTGCCGCGGCGGGGGGTCTCCACGAAAGGGGCCCCTTTCCAGGAGTTCAGAGGACCTGCTGCGCTCTCAGCGTCTGGGTGGTGGGGGTGTTCAGCGAGTGGAGGGGTTGTATCCAAAATTAAATCAGAAATTACGACATTGGAGTTTTAATGGCATTAGAAACAGCTGATGCCATTACTCTCTAGGAATATCGGTTCCTATTTGCAAGCGTTGCGCTAAGTCGAACTTCATCCCGGTGCTGTATCGTCATATCAAACACCGAGAAGTATTATATGGAATACTATACATATTTGGCTTCATTACTTTCATCTGAGCAGCCTAAAAATGAAGAAACTTTGATAGATGAAAACCGTTTACTAAAGTGAGTGCCAGCCTGTGTCTACCACAGTGCTATGCACATTCTGGTCATTTTATTAATCTGGTCGTTTTATTGATTACTGAATACAGCATTATTGAATTCACATAATTTTATATGAATATCTGGAACCAAAATATGGTAGAAGAGAGATGACTATGATTCACAGAGCTATAAAAATGAGGCGGTATCACTTTCTGTCACATACCATGGAAGAACTTTTTTCCATCTTTACGTAGGTGTCAGGTGTTACACGTGATTGAGTGGTGTCAGCCCTTTTTCTTTCATGTTGGGACCGCAATAGCGATGAAAGAAAAAAAAAAAAAAGATCCTGCAGTGCTGGAACGTGCTACCTTGAAGCTATAGGCAACTACAGCGAGCAAGCTGTGGTCTGCACAGCATGCTAATGCCTACCCTCTGGAAAAGCAGGAAAGGTGGTGGCTGCAGCTGCTGTTGACACCGTGTAAATCTTATTTGTACACTCAGTTTAGAGTAATTGTACAGATTTAAGGGTATTTGGAAGTTAGTTATGAAAATCTTTATGTGCTTTTCCTAGATACTGTACCCAGGAAATACTTGCCATAGAAAAATATGACCAAAAGTAGAGCTTGCATACTGCATATCCTTAACATGGTATTTATCTACAAGTCTTTACATAAAGATATGCAGTCACTCTGAGAAAGCTTAAATCTTTTTCCTTTGATTTTCTTGTGTCTGACACCAAAGTTGAGAATTTATGTGAACACAATGTAAGTCAGTCTTAAAATCAAAGTTTGTATGCTGGTTTTAAGAAATGTTTTTAAAAATATATACATTTATTGTGTGGCCAGCTTCTGCAGAGATACTACTTCCTTGGCCGTTTTAAAGCAGTGTTTTGGTTTGATTGACATAACACTTGTATTTACTATTATTTCCAGGCAATAAATTTGAAACGGGGGTTAAATCGCTTGTGAATAATTCTTATTCCAATACATCTAGTAAACCAAGGTAAGTGTTTTTTTGTCTCAGGCACACCTGTTAGTCTTCTAGGAACACAGACATAAAGAATTTAAATACTCCTATGGGTTATTTCAGAGAGGTGCATTAACATATTTACCATGACCTTGACAATACTGGAAACCACACAAGTCATCTTCAGGAACTCTGAGACCAGAAGTATGCTGCTATTGTAGCCAAAGTACAACTGAGGTGGTTTTAAATTTTCTTGTCATGGATAGTCTGTACTAGTAGTTGTGAGAAAATATATTTGTAAACAGCACAGAGCAGCACCAGGGAGCAGAGAACACCATAAACCATCTCTATGATTGTTTCTCAGCACAGCAGTACACACCTACTGAAAGTTTCCATTCTTGGGTTCTTGTACTTCTGTCAGCTTTGCTTTTTTTTTTTTTTTTTTCAGTCATGATCTAAGGAACCGTATTTTATGTGGAATTGGAGTGACCAAACTTGGAGACTTCACAGAATCACATCATTGCAATCCTGACAGCTGCATGTAATAGCAGATAATGTGCCTGCATTTTAAAATAGAAAATTAGGACAAGCAGTTACATCAGTTGCATTTACTATATCTTTTTGCTAGATGAGGCAATTAAGATTATTTATTTTATACTGTCCAAGAAAGACTTAGAAAGTTAGCAAAACATATGGATATACACAGAGCAGCTCCAGATTCCACTCAAGTAAATTATAGCAGTTATTCATCAACATTTAGTCATCCCTTTGCTTGCAGTCTGAACAGAGATACAAAGAAGGAAACAGATAAGCCTAGGAAGGAAGAGGACAGCAGCAGAAGTCCAAGTCTGATTAAAGGGGAAATGTGGTGTTTCCTTTTTCTTCCACTAATTAATAACCAGTGCTGCAAATTTACTTAGCAGAAACTGTGAATGTGCTACTGGTGTTTTGGGTTCATCTTTAGCAATGCAACCCAGCTGTTGATTATATACTACAGTTACAGGATAAGAATGCACACAGGTAATACTTTAAGTCTAAGGAGAGAAGCCCTTAAGCTCTTTATTTCAGTTCCATTTGGGTTCAGCCCTCATAAAGTTCTCCCAGTTCAGTTCCGGTCCGAGTTCAACAAAACTTCAGAAAGATGATTTAGTTCTATTCCAGTTTTAAGGACAAAAAAATTTATATATATATATATATATGCGTATATATATGTATGTGTATATGTATAAAATACATATTTTATATTTATTTATTTATACATATTTTTATATCTATTTGAGCCAGTTTGGTGTCAATTCAGTATCCCACTAACTGCACAAATCTCATGGTCAATCCTGCACATCGCTATCATCAGACTTTTAGACTTAAAACCTTGTTCTGTGTGGTCCTGCAGACTGAGGGGTCACCAGCAGTCATCGGCTTTTAAGGACTGCTGAATTCAGGGTCACAAGTCCAAATCTGTGGGAACCAAGCTATCCAGTATCTCTTCTCTTTACATGTGGGATATTCCAGGTCATAATGGCAGATTTTTACAATTATTACACACTTTTTTAAAGCTCACTTTTAAGTGCCAAATCTTTTTAGAAACTTTGTACTAGTATAATGAGATTTTTTAAAATGGTTTATGCTAATTAGTCGAGCTGTATTCAAGCATGTATGTATTTTCTTTGTTCTCTATGGACTAGTTGGTTTCTGCTGATAACAAGAGCCTAAATATGTTTTTAAAACTAGTGCAAGCAGATTTAATTTATTAGGATTATGCTGTTTTCAATTGTCTGTAGGACAGCATTCCAGCTTTAAGGACAAAGGAAAAAATATGAGCCTCTAAATTTGTTTATTAAAAACACATCTAATTGGTTAAATCTCTCACAAAACCTCAGAAATTAAGATGGAAAAAAAGAAACTTATTGTGTGCTTGCCTGTCATTTTTAGAAAGAAGAGCACAGAAAAGATTTCTTATGTGATGTATCTCAAAAACAGTGTTAAAATATGTGTCAGGGTGGGCCAAACTTGGTGGTCTTCAGGTAAGATGAGGGTCTTGCAAGCCATTGCTGCCTACTGCTGTTCCAGACAATAATCCCATCCCTTCCCTTCCTCTCTCTTCCTCCTCACCCTGGTCCCAATTGCACTCCCCTTTGCAAGCGTGGGTGTCTGTAATGCCAACATCCAGGTCTCCTGTGCCAGTCACCAAACAACAAGCTGGTGCCAAGGAAGGGAAGGTTTTGGTATGGAAAGTTTGCCCAAACTGTAGACCAAAATTTAGGCATGCTGTGCTGGGTGCTGGCAGGGTTTGAGGGCATTAGGTGGTGGGCTGGGAGGGGGTGTCACTCTTCAGGTGGCATTTGCTACTCCAAAAATAATTCCTTATCATTCCTAAGAAAAGATGATGGGCAGGACTGAAGTGCATCACTGAAGGGGACCAGCTGGGCTGCTGCTTAATTATTCTGATACTCCATGATTTCCATTCATTTAAACAATAAAGGCTTTAAATTAAATGCAGTTCAAAGAGAAGAATGAAAACAAAATAGGTGACACATCATGAACTTCCTTAAAAGTATTATTTTATTAAAAGGCATGTCCAGCATGTAGGTAAAATATAGCACAGAAAGTTTTAAAATATCTTAAACCAGGTTTAAAGTGACCCTGTAGCGTCTATACATTTACATTTGTTTCAATAATAAAAATAAGTGTTTATTAGCAGTACTGCAGTGAATTCTTAATGCTGTTTACTTTGATATAAATAATCTGTAGCAAAAAGTTGAGTGACAAGTAGTTATAAAAAAGAAACAGGCATCAAATGCAAAACGTTTGCATACATTGCAGAAAAAAAACTCCAATGAATTGTAATAAAAAACTTGTAATTAATATTTGCCAAACATGACTCAGTATGTCTCAGAATTTTTAGTCCATTTTCTTTAAATACATGAATTAATGTAGTTCTCTGCTTATTTTTAATTTAAAAATGAAATAAAGATGAAATATTACAAGTCTCTTATTATTTATTATTTATTCCAGACTTATGAAGTTATTTTTAAATGTAAAGCACCATTTTAATAATGTGAGAACAAAGAAAATTCACTAATTAGCCTGAAAATCAAACATTGACAAATAACTAAAATGAATTTAAGATTCAAGTCTGAAACCTTTTCACAAA